TCATTAATGACCTTCCACTCTGGTACTACTTGATCTAAAGACAAAAATACATACTTCAAGGGTGATGCAGAGAGCAGATGTTCCCAAAGTCTAGGGATTCTTATATTTTTGAGCAATAATAGAGCTGGAGCTGATTTCAGGATAATGATGATGATGAAGAAGATGAAGAAAATAACTTTGGCCTGCACCATTTTTCCCCTGATGGGTATGTATTTAGATCTATGAATATATTGTGCCAATTGGAAGATATATCCTAAATATATCCAGCTTTAAAGCCACTGGACTTGTTAGGAGGCTGAGGCAGGAAGATTGCGAATTTAAAGCCAGCCTCAGCAACTTAGCAAGACCCCATCTCAAAATAAAGAATAAGAAATAGGCTGGTGATATGGCTCAGTGATTAACCGCCCTTGGGTTCAATTCCTGGTACAAAAAAAAAAAATCCCCTTAAAGTCCACCTTCATCAGGTAGACATTTATAATGTGTGTGTGTGTGTGTGTGCGCGAGCGCATGCACGCGCGTGCCCACCAGGTGCCAAACATTTACTAGCAATGGTAATCTGTGCTTGGTGGTATGGAGAAATGATGGTCAGGGGGAAAGAAACAGGCAAAGCATGAACCTTTTTCAATATCGCACACTGAGTGAGGTTTATGAACCATGGTCAGATGCTCTGAAAAGATTTACAAGGACCATCTAGTGTGGACTGGGAATGTGAAGGAAGATTTTGGAAGAAGTGAAAGCAGAGTGAGAGTCAAGAGAAGAAACTGAAGATGGAGAGTGGGGCAGGAGGAAAATCTGGTAAGCGGATGTGAGAAACAATGGGTCCTTCTCATTCCAAAGCCAAGTGCAAAGCTGGTGAAATGAGAACAGAGAGGAAGGAGGACACAAGGGCCAGGCAGTGGAGAGTCAAGTGTGGGAAGTTTGGTGAGGCATTTTCATTGAGCTGAGAAATTGGGAGGCACTGAAGGCTTTTAGGTTAGTTACAAAATCAAATCTACATTTTAGGCCACTTTCGTTTGAATGTTATAAAAGGGTGGAGGCTCAAGAAGGGGATAGAGCCATCCACACATTCAAATATCTCATTGCCTATTTCCCAGAGTCCACAGCACTAGAGAAAGTTCCAATGGGTACTCAGTTGACCCTTTAGCTGCTACAGCTGATTAATATGGAACGAGGTGTTTGCAGTGGTGTTCAGTACAATTGTGGGTCACACTGAGGCATCCAGGATTTTACCAATCCTACGCCTGTACTTACATGTTCTACCTGAATCTCTTCCTGGTAGAGGGCACCAGACTCAGGAAAAGGGAGAATGTTTTGTTTTAATATAATTCCCTTAAAACCTAACAAAGAATCACAGTTAAGATGCATAACAAGAGAAAATAAAAGGACTTGGCAGCGGAATCGAATAAAAGGGACAATGGGGTGTGACTTGTCTCCTGGCTCAAACCAGGTGGATAGTGTGGCCATTCATGAGTTCATTGATAGGCATAAAAGAGGAGAATGGTGCAGAGTGGGGCATTGGTTGGTTTATCTGAAATATCTGTGGAACACTCAGAAAGAGATGTTTGCTTGGTGGCATTTGATCATGACTTTTGAAGCTCAGGGGAGAGAGAGGAACAAGAACTGCATATTTAGGGTTCATTAGGCTACAGATGGGATCTGGAGCCATTCATACTGTCTTCCCAGAGGAGTATTAAAAGTAAGATACCACGATTCCAGGTAATGAGGCTTAAGTGATCTCCAGAGTACAGAACACACACTACACACATACATGTGCATGCATGCGCGCGCACACACACACACACACACACAACCAATTTGACAATCTGACACAGGAAATGACAAAATCATATTAAGACACGAGACTTGACTATTGCAATCATTCTTATACAGAGCCCAATATGTAGCAAGCCCAGTTGTACACGTGGAGGAGAGGTTCCTTCTAAAATGGCTCAGAATACAACAGTTACTAATAGGGCATTATGTAAAATTGTGGATGTGTAACCGACATGATTCTGCAATCTGCATTTGGGGTAAAAATTGGGGAAAAAAAAATAAATAAAATGGCTCAGAATATCCTTCCTCTGCACTTCCCCAACTACCTGAGTATGTACTTCTAGACCTCTTGGTGTAGTCTTACCAGGCTTCTTATCTTTAGCTTTCCTTTAACTTTTTTGAATACTCAAAGATATAGGAAAATCCTAATTGAGCCCTAGTAGAAAACTAAGGGGGACATATTCTCAATTTAGTTATCCCTTAATATATAAATTGAATTTATTTCTAGTTGTCTTTTTCTCAGTCCTTTCTTATACACCTCTTCTTTTTTTTCAGTTCCTCGTCTTGGCCATCGTTCCACGTTATTTACTACAAATGTCCAACTTTCTTCTTGCTTCTGCCTCTTTTAAATCCTTTCTGAATACAGCTGGCAGCATGTTTTTAAAATCCCTTTTATGTCATTCATCCCAAGACAGACACTATTTCCACTGCAAGTTATACTGGGTGCTACCGACTCCTTTCTTTCAAGCACTCCAGAGTAAAATCAATCCCAGCCCATGCAACAGTGTTTCACATTTCCCTGACACAGCTTTTCCAAGAGAACCCCATCTCTTCTCATCAACTTTCCACTAGCCTATTTTAATTCCTACCTTTGCTTTGTTTTGCCAACCTAGAATCTCAGTAATAATACATTTGGTTTTAATAAACCAATAAAAGAGCTCAGAAATGAGACTCAGAAACTCTTGACACTAGGTTGGAGGCGTAGTGAACTTTTTGTTTTTGGCACAGATACTAACATATTTCTGTTGTTTTGAAGGGGAAATAGACAATCCAAGTGAAAGTATTTTTCAAGTGTTATGTAAAATAAATCCTGACTAGAGTCTTCTGAGGACATTCCAAGAGAGTACAGTTTGTGATCTATTTGGAAATTTGCATAGATAATACTTCAAAGAAGATACCCTGTTGGTTTGGATTGGATGTTCACAAAAATATTTCAAAGAATGATTGATAGAGCCAACCTTTATCTGTAAGTTTTTAATTTATAGTTTCATCCTCTGCAAGAATTTATAGTTTCATCCTCTACAAATAGTTTTATGTACATATTGAGAGACTATAAAGAAAATCAGAATATTTTGTCATAATTTTTGCTTTAGTGACTTTCACTAATCTCTGGGGAAAAAAAAAAAACCACAAAAACCAAAAAACTGATAATCAAAATTTTCTTATATAAAATTCAACACTACAATTCATTGGTATCTGAAATAATTTAAGAGTAACCTAGAACTTGAGAACAGTACAGGCCAAATTGACAAATTCTCAGTGACTGTTAACAATGACCTTACAATAAAGCAGTCTAACATTTTAGAAACATGGGTGCTTTTTATCAGTCTAGCCAGTTGTCACTAAAGAGTTGGAGTAAAAGTGGGAAAAGTAAATTAATTAAGAGCTCAGAATTATATACTCATCAGCTTCTGTGAGAAAAAAGTAGGCAAGTGTCAGAGAATATGATCTTGCTGTAGCAAGATTGAGTCATGATATCAAAAAGACACACAAAATGCCAAGAATCAACAAAATAAAAATGACAGAAAGAAAGTGGTGAATCTGTTATTCATTAAGTTGTCATTTATAACATTCAAGGGTAACCCTGTCCTATTACTTCCTCCAAATCATTCTGGTAAGGTAGAAGTGGAAAAGGTTTCACTTAAAAAGTTTTGTTATAGTTGGAAAAAAATAAAGTTGGTTAACTTAAAATCCAAGAGTTTCATAAGCATCTCGCTTTGAAAATTGTAGCACGTATGTTCCTGACCTGGTTATAAAATAATTTTACATCAAATATTTAATAGTTCTAACATGAATTATCAACAACAAAAGCATCTTGATTTTAATTATTTTAGAAATACATTAACAAGTAAAATCTAGTATGCATCTACATAGTCAACGTATTGACTACAGAGTATGTGTTTGAATTATTAAAAACATGAAGTAAATGAAAATTACTAACACACTACTCATTACTTAAAAACTCAAAGACTTTGAGAGTGCAGTTTTCATTTTAACAAATGCAAATATCTAACAGGTTTTATTGGTTCACGCAAGATCACTGCATCTTTAAGCCTGTTCCTTGACACCTCACACTTTTCCTTTCTTTCGTTGTTCTAGTCCTAAGAGTAGGGAGTCCCTTGTGTTTGAAGGTCCAGCAACGTCATTGGCCCTGTATGGTGGTACACCATGATGATGACCCGTCCCTGCCTCAGGCCCAGCTAGGCTAGCATTTATCTTTTCCTCTCAGCTTCTCTGACTTTGTGTGATCCTCAAATTATTTTCAAACATATCTACTTAATTTTCACAAGCAGACTGAAGGCAGCACAAAATCTAACAATAAGTCCTTACAAAGAGTGAAAATACATACAAAATTCTCAACAAGTAACTGAAAGCAGCCCAATAAATAGAAGTTTCTTGTTGAAAGTACTTCTGCTGTAAATACATCCTGAGTAAAAATTATTTTATTTCTTATGGGAATATAAAGTTAGTTCCTCACAAATATTTGCCATTAATGTCTTTAGAGAACTGTATTTATTTATGGACTGATGTCTTATTCTGTTAGTGATATACAATTTGTAAAAAAGTGGCGCTTTGAAAATCATTTTCCAATTACTAATCAGGTCAGAAAAGCTTGCAAAATTCATTTCTGTTCACTTGAAATGCTCCTTTTGATATTATGCCCAGAGATGTTATAAATAGAAACATACAAAATATACAAAATCCTTTGTTTCAATCCTATACTTCCTGACAGATTTTGAAATTAAAATGGCACTCTCATGACTAATTAAATCTACTGCAACTCTCTATGGGGAATATTGGAAACTTTCCTTTTTTAAGTGAAAAGAGCGACATCATTTTTTAGAGTCTGTTGAGACCTTCTGATATGTAGTCCCCAGAAGCAAGATTCATCAAAGTAGTATCTAAGGCCTACCCGAGGCTTCAAAATACTGCCCACATATACCATATTTGTTGAACAAATTCAGATTTATTGAAAGTAAACATTTACATAGGCTACAATGTTAGAACTATTACAAAGCTGGGTAAAAGAGGCTTAAGTAGCAATAGAAAGCAAGTGCAATAAAAAGTGAATAGAGAAAATATTTGGCCTTAGTGATCTCTTGGCAGTATTTACATTATATACATACCATTAAATATTTATAATAACTCTAAGGCACCAAAGGCTAAATAGCGGTTGCAATACTATTTTGTGCACAAAAGTCAAGAAATTTATTTTAAAGAAGGTTATGTAGTTAAAGAAACATAGGCATATCTTAATGTTTACATAAAGGAGTGGCTGCATTTTTTTCAAACCTCAAATGATACATTAAATATTGGGCAGATTGAAGAAAATATTTTTAGAACATTAAATTATATAGACTATGTAAATAAGCACTATTTTTTACTGACTTGCTGGTAAATGTGTAATGTAATCTATTCTTCAACACAGCTTTTTCAACACTCATGGGTATGTTTTGTCTAAAAACTACTTGAAAGACTTTTGACCTACAAAAACTTATTCTATATTTTATAGTGTATACAAAACCCCCAAGAAAAATTTGCTGGGTAATAATATACATCAAATCTATATATAATTGGACAAAAATTTAGCAGGCATTAAATGCCAAAATACTAGAATATTCAGTCTGCCATTCTGGCATAGCAGTTAGTTCTTTTGTTTGTTTTTTAATCCTTGAACTCTAGAGTGGGCAACTGTTTGTGGCTTTAGGTGAATGGACATAAAGTTGTCCCAGGTAGGCAACCAATCTTAAAGGGAATTAATTAATTTCAAATTTTGCAACTTAAAACGCTTTTGACCAACTCAGAGTGTTAACTATGTTATCATTAGTGACTGACATACTTGGCATAGCATAGCTAAGGAATAACTGACAACATCTATGGCCAGCATAGTCTTACCTGTTGAATTATTTGATGACTACTATTTGTAAAGTTTTATTTGATCATTACACCGAAAACCCAATTTGCCTTATCAAGTGATCTATCATTTGTCTTGAGGTAGTGCTGTAACGAAGAATTCAGCAAGACTACGGTGTTTTTAAATGTGCTTCTAATTCCACCATACAATTCCTATATTTTAGATGGTAGGTGGTCTGAGGTTGTGTGGTCTATCATGGCATATTACATTACCCCTGATGACAGCTATCCTGACTCCTTCACAAGGAAATGAGTCTTTCTTCAAAACTTTCTGAAACCTCATGCTTTAGACAAGTTATGGTTTTAAAAATATTTTTATTATATAAAGTACTGGTAAATTCTTCCAGTAACATTTATTTGAAGATTCACAGACTTGCATTGAAAGTTTTCTTTTGGCAAAGGTGAGAACAATTGAGGAATTTATTCTCTAATTGCTTTAGTTTTCAATGAGAAACATTCATAGCATTTTCAGATGTTTGGAATGGTTTCTCATACTACACAGTATTTGGCAGTAATTTGAAGGATGTGGCATTAAAATTAAATTTTAAATTGAAAACATTAAAACCTAACATTTTGACTGAGATTTACTGAAAAATAAAAATTATTCCAACATAATGCATTCCATACCCACTAGATTATTTGAATATTATTTTCTCCTTTTTCAAATATTGAATAATTTCCTCCCCTATTTATATAGTGAAGACAGACAAATTATTCATAGTGAAATGTTTACAGAATCAGCAATGCAGGAAAAAAGTAGAACTAATAAATTAAGGTCTTCTACTTTTAAAAATGAGAATGATACCCTTTGCTTGGTTGGTTAATATCTAATAGCAACTGTTCCACAAGCAAGCTAATACTATAAAACATCTGTGCACAGATTTCCAATGAGGATTAAAATATAATATTGAATGTTTAAAATCATCAAATAAGTCAACACATAATATCTTAAGAAGGTGACTGGCATGATAGTAAGTGTTTAAATCTTGAATTTTAAGGACCCATTCATTTACTAATGGTATTTAAAAAAATAAATTCTTTAGAAATAAAGATAGTATCTCCATCAGTGTACCATAGTATTCCTAATTTCAAAGTCAATTAAAAGATCAGCTCTCTTAAAGTATTTGTTCTGTCACAATTTTTGAAAAGAAAATCTTTCTGTATTGAAATATAACTCAATTAATGATCATTATATTTTATTTCCATAAATGATGCCTATTGTTGTGTTGTATTTAGTGGACACTGAACTAAGAGTTATTTTTCTCTCTTGGGTATGTGAATCTATTTTATTATTAAACTGGCAGTAGAGGTTTTCATTATGTCATTTTCCCTCCTCTGAATGTCTCCCTTGACTACTCCAAGTTACCTTCCAGTCTGATTCTGACACTGTATTCCTTACAGATCATTCAACTGTTAAGTAAAGCCATAATTGATTTGGTGAATGGCTTTTATATGAAGGTGGGAGGTCCTCTGCAGATTTGGAGGTGCTTCACTGATCCTAGGAGCCTAAGAGGTGGGGTTCTAAGACCCCAACTCCCAAATCCTGGTAGTACATCTTCATATATATGTCATGCATAGAATGTCCAACAAAATTAATACAAAAAACTAATTTTGTTGCCTAAAAGTGTTTCTAAACTATAGTTAGAATGATACAGGAGACTTGGGGAGTCTTGGCAGAAAGAAGCAAGTGGTCCTCTTGTCCCCAAAGTCTTCAAATCACAGAACACTAACTTGGCCTTACCATGTTAACATTATCCCTTGGTCTGCTCCTGAGTTCAGAGGCACCAGTCAAAACAATATCTTAAGTAAATACTATCAAAATGATCAATATCCCAACCTCTATAAGACTAATTTTTTTTTGCAGAAATAAGTGGCTTATCAACTACTTATAGTATAAGAAAAACAAAGATTAGTAAATACTTCCTTAACAGCCCTTCTCAAGGTGTATGACCTTTTTCTCACCTTTTATGCCAGACAAAGGGAATAAACACAGAAGTTATCACATTATACTTGCAAATGACTGTACATTGGTATTTTTTATTTCCACATAAATTAAAATCAGATATGAGCCTTGATTCAGAGTTTGAATGGAGGCAGACTCACTAATTAAACTGCTTTCATGAATGGCCTAATCCCAAATACATCATGTAGGGAAATAAACACTGTCAGTTGAAACTTAAAATAATAGGACTCAAAAGAAAGGATTTGGATGAGCACATGACTCTGGAAAAGGAAATGCTGAGAACTGGTGTTATTGTTCTCTATAAACTTATTTGTATTCTTTTAATATAAAAGAAGCTTCAAAGTTTGTCATCTTTCTCAATATGAAAAAAATAAGCAGAGGTATTAGATGAACAAATACAAAAATGCTGGTGTGGTATAAATAAAATTTTTAAAAATGTTCCATTATAGGAAATAAAAAGTATACACCGTTTCTTTCCATTCTGAGTTCTTTCATGTGATCATTTGAATATAGACTTAGTCTGATGGGGCACTGATGTTGCCCAAATACTTTCAGGTAATATTTTAAATGACTTAGAACTTGACCAAAGTTACATTTCTTTAAACCAATAGGAAAACTGTCAGCAAATACTATGTATAAATGAATAGTGGTAAATTTGGCTCATATCTTGGTGCTTATTCAGAATTACTGCTTACTAAATATTCTCTTCATCGAATGAGGATAGAAAGGTGAAGCTACATACGTCATCTCTATTGTCATAATGCATATATGTGAATATGCACACACATATGCACAATCACACATCTTGATGTGTGAATCTACATATGTATGTTACATATTTTTGGCAAAATACTGCTCCTAGGATCTAACTGTTTTTTTAATAAGAAAAAATAGGATAATAGACAACATCCCTCCTGAAATATTCAAATGTTCATCAACTAATTATATAGCACATCAGAATGTGCAAACATTATACTTATTACAAAGTATCTGATAATTTAGATGCCATTATAAAATGTTCTCAATTCTAGTTTGGTACCCTAAAATGTCGGTATATAATACCAAATGTCCAATTAAAGAATTTAATATAAAAATATCAGCACAAAACTGTTTTTTCAATCTGTTTATTGTGTATGCAACCCAAACTTCAGTTTCCGTGCTGTTGTAATTTTATTACTAGATTCCATACCCCTACAGTTGATAAATTTATACCATTTTAGGTATTTAATAAGATACTTAGAAATACTAAGAAAAAAAATCAGTATTCAAAGGGTTAATTTTGTTTATAATAACAACAAATTATTTTATCATCTTCTTCAGTTCAAAATCCAGCTTTGAACACGAGGAAGGCTTTCAAATCATGTTAATTAAATCGTGGTCCTTTAACCAGTAGCAGTTTGATTACCAATTACTCGGAGGATCTCTTTGTGAATGCCCCCTTCCTGTGTGTTAATATTTGCGTCTCCCACTTGGCCATCTTCATAGCTAAAACAGAAAACACAAAAACATACAAATATATTAAAAGATGGCAGCATTTAAAATGGTTTCATGAGCAACTAATAAAAAATTTGCTATCTGATACAGGAAATTTTAAAAAAGGAATTAAAAAAGGGAATAAAAAAAAAGAACCAGTTATTTTCCTGTTGTATTTATTATCTCATGACTAAACACACAACAACCTGTTATTCCATGTCATCCTTTCCTTCCATTTTAATTTTAATGTGTTCATCCACACATAAGAGTACTATCTGAGCTGCAAGAGGAACCCCTGTGACTTCAGAATTACAAGCATTTCCCAGAGGAGTTGTTAAGAAACCAACTGCAAAGAATATACCATTCTTTTTTTTTTTTTTTTTTTTTT